AAAGAAAGAAAGAAAGAAAGAAAGAAAGAAAGAAAGAAAGAAAGAAAGAAAGAAAACAGAACACAACAAACACAACAGAAGGGAAAAAAAAGCAAAAAGCTTGAGAACCACAGATAATCTCTCTCTCATACACACACACCAACATGTACAAACACAGAACAGATAAAATGCAAATTGGAAATTATTATATGTAAGCAAAATATTAGTAAGGTTAAAAAAATGCTCAGACAAAGCATTATGAGACAAAAACCCTCCAATATTAACACTACATTTATTTTAAATTGGCCTTCTCCTGTCAGGCTTGAGGCCTGCCCTTGAGAGCAGTTTTTACAGGCAAACTCCATTGGAGAAAACTAACTTTCCTCTGCAGGTGGATGTTAGCTGGAGTTATCTTCCTGGTTGGTCACAGGAGATCATGTCCACTTTCCCTTCTTGGTATTGGGACCCCATCTGGCTTGGACCTGGGTAAGCCCAGTGCATGTTGCCTTCGTCTGTGTGCTCTAGGCACAGCATATTTCATATGTCCCCTTCAGCTACAATACTGACAGAATACCGAGTCATGACATGACTGTCTATCACACTGGTGTCATTTCTATCTTCCTTACCTGTACCAGAACATGGGATTTCTGTGTACTTGGTTAACTCAAAGAGGAAAACTCTACACATTTCTTAAACTTACTCATTTCTTCAGTCATTTCCATTTTCATGTTTTCCTTCTGGAAATTCTGCATTGTTTGCAGTGTCTTCTGTGGATCCATTTTCTTATTGACTGCTTGCATTGTCTTTAAGAAATGATAAGAGCCATGTTAGCTACCTAATTATGAAAGCCATACTAGGGAGTAGGTTTAAAGGCAGCACATCTAACACAGTCTATCTTCTAACCTAATGTTAAATCTAATTCAAAAACTTATCTGAGACCTAAGAATTGAAATCTGTTTCAACAAGACAGAGCCATTTTCCAGCTCTGTTGACACAATGAACTTATATCCTTAAACATGTGTACTGTCCCTGGCATAGGACTATTACATATACCTGTCTTTAGTGCTCCTTTCTGTTCTAAGTAATTTGCATATACTAAAATTAAAGTTAAATATAGTAGTAAATAAAAGTGTTGGGCTATACATTGTTTATTATTAATTTCCCTATGATTATCATGGCGGTATTATCTAACCCGTCATCACAAATAAGACACAGACACCTGTTAGACTTTATAATTGCCTTATTTATCTTGGTCTGGGCAGATATTCCTACCTATGCTGTCAACATCCATCTCCCAGCCCCCATGCAATGTCATCCTCCTTAACCATCCTATTTCCATGCATAATATTATAAATACTTGTTTTTATTCTTCATCGGGCTTTTTCATGCCATTATGGGAGTCCTACCTCCAGGCCCCAAGTGATTTCTTCTCCAGGCTAAGCCACTGAGTTTTCCTCCTTCTCCTTCTCTCCCTGACTGCCTGGCTCCCATCATTCTCTCCAGCCAGGGAACCTTAGCCATGCCTCCCCCATTCTGACTTGCCCAGGTATAGGCTGTTTAATGAACCAATCAGATATAATGACTTTGGCAGGTTTACAACACAAGGATAGGCATAACCAGATCTTGAGGGCCAGCATTAAAACAACCTCCAGGACAACCCCCAACAGTTAAATGAGATTTAAAACACAAGAACTACACGTGCTAATTCCTTCTTGTCTCACTCTCATTACAGAAAAAGCAAAGTCCCAGATGGCTGAATAACTTGCACAAGGTCACACTATTCAGTGAAACATTATCTGAGTGTGAGCAAGGTTTTAGAGTCCTGTATAAACTATATCTCCTGTGAGCTGCCTCTTAAAAAGGCTCTTAAAAGTCCATGTGGGTGAGGTCCTGGCTTAGCCATTCCATCTGAGCTATCTGAGTATCTGAACAAACACCTGACCAAATAGGATGTTCCTAAGACACTTAATTAAAAATTCCAATTCAGATGCCCGTATATGGCAAAAGCACACTAGGTTTCATTTCTGAGCCTGTAATTTACAGAAAAGTACAAGGTAACTGTTTTGAACTTCAACAACGGTTCAAAGTTACCAGTGTCGCTATGTGATCTTCATAAGACCTTGTCCCCAAATTAGTAGACTTTCAGTTCTGTAAGGCTACAAAGGAGACTACAAGTATTCGCTCTTATGTATTTTTATAACTGAAATGCTCAGAGACCCTGAAACCAACAATTAAAGCACTGATTATACAAACGCACACACACACTACATATATATTTATGTGTGTGTATATATATATAAAATTATATATAATTAAATGTAAGTTTCTTAGCTCCTAAAATGTAAAAATTTTCCATTTACAATATTCATATGTGTGGTTCTAAACATTATTTATAAGTGAATCAAAAGGAAATTATTACTCAAAAGTAGTCACAAATAATAATAAAGAAACCCCCAAATTTTCTGATAATTTTTTGAAACAAAACACTATTTTAAGTCAAACCCACATAAACTTTGAAGCTTACGTGTGATGTGGGGAAAATAGTAGTGTTCTTACTTTTTAACATACCAATAACTAAGTAAAAGCAATTACTTCAGTTGTCTAGCATTATAACCCATTTTATTAATAACTAAGATTTTCATACCACAAATGTACCAGCAAGTGCTTTACAATCTGACTTGAGTATCAGTATTTATGTCCTTGATAAAAAGCCATCGAAACTTCCAGGTACCTTTGCAGTGGTAGACATGGCACCGGCCATCTTCATCTGTGAGTTCATCACTTTTGTTTGTGTGGACATAGATGTCACTTTGGAACTCACAGCAAAAGTTCTTGTCTTCTGTTTCCGTAGATGAACAAGTTGCTTAGCTAAAACCCTACAGGCTTCTTTATTACCAATCTTAGCCATCTTCTTAATTTCTAATTCCTAAGAAGATGAGAAAAAATAAAGGAATTAAAATCAAGGGGCAGCCCTCAGAGATAATCAGGAAGAACATATATAGTAGGCATGAAGTCATAGAAAGGAAGGACAGCTTGAGAATCTTGGCCACATGTTCACACAGGAAGAACTGCTACTGTCATCCTTGAAAACAATGCAAGTCTACAAAACAATATGTGCAGACAGTCCAGTAGAAAATACAAAATGAAAATCCAAAATTAGGGAAAAAAAAAAAAAAAAACCAACAGTAAGTCAACAAAAATAAAGACTGAGGTAGTAAAGTTAATAATTCCAGATAGCTACCTTGAAACAGAGAGCTGACCTTATTCCTCGATTAAAAGGAAACTGCTGGGATGTATAAAAGCAAATCTAAATATACTGTACCTCAAAATCAAACTTAAACACAAGATCAAAGGTGTCTTAATAGGTGCAAAATACGTTATAATTACCAAAGTCTGCAAATCTTAAGTAATACTAATATCAGAGCAAACAAACTTAAGAGCAAGAGATACTGCCAGAAGTAAAAAGGATCATGTCATAATGATGGGACCAAAACATAAAATTATCACTTTACTCCTAAGTATGTACATACATGTTAACTTTGTTTCACAGTGTTAATCACAACTGACAAGACCAATAGGAGAACAAAGTCAAATATACAATGCCTTCCAGAGAGAGACATCAGCACTTTTCTTAAATAGACTGCTAGAATGTTTCAAGCGTAGTGCATTGTGATGCGTCAAGACCCCAATGATGCCAAACCATTACTGTACTATGTTTATTTTTTCCTATACACACATACCTAAGATAAAATTCTGCCTTCCCTTTATGGAAAGGAATGCATAGCTTTCTTCTGCTATATCATCACTCTAAGAATTCATTATTAAGGTAACAAAAGATTTACTTGGCCACAAGCACTCTAGCACCTCATCTGAGAAGGTGATCGATGAGTACGCCGTGTCTGTAGTGCAGAACACTGGACAAAGAAAGAGCAGATTCACTTCTTGGGTGGGATGGGGGTGGGTGATGTGTGATTTAATTAAATAACTCAACAGTGCACAACTTGTAAGTTATTGTGGAGGGTGAGGAAGAGGACATAAAGTTGAGGCAGAGGCAATCTGAGAGGTTTTACGGGCACCCGGGTGGGGTGAATACAATCAAACCATGCTGTATGAAATCATCAAACAATTCCAAAAAATATAACATAGAAAGGTTCCAAGACAGGAAATGAAGATATAAAGCCTTCCTTATTTATGATGTCACAATCCACTGATACAGAAATCTCATTGAAGGTACAAAAGGCTACAAGAATAAATGAGCTGTGGAAACTTATAGGATTTAAGATAAGATACAAATAAAAAGAATTTGGCACCTCTCTATGTATACTGATCAAAAGTAATCAGAAATTCATTTTTTCTTAAAATGATAGCATCTAAGGAAATAAAAGGTCTATATGCTTACAAGTTAAAAAATTAAAAATTTCAGAGATCCAGAAACACGAAGATATATAAAAACTACTAATGGACAGTAAAACTTATTGCTAAAATGTTAATTCACCCAAATAATTCACACATCCAAGGTAACCAATCAAAATCTAGCCATTTCTGTAGAAGAGTCAGGTTTATTCTAAAAGTCCTAGGAAAGTGTGAAGCACCTGAAATAAGCTAAAGCAGCAGTTCTCAATCTGGGTGCTAAGCCCCTTTGAAAACTTCCATCTCCAAAAATCTTCACATTATGATGTCTAATGTAGCAAAGTTACAGTTGTGAAGTAGCCAATAAAAATAATTTTAAGGTTGGGGTCACCACAACATGAAGAACTGTATTAAAGGGTCGCAGCATTAGGAAGATGAAGAACCACTGCCGTAAAGGATTCTGAGGATAAAAGAAGCACCAAGGTGAATGATGAATTCACCTAATTTAAAATTAAACTTAAAATTCTCTAGTTTTAGGTTGAAGTATAAAACAACAGTAAATGAGTGCAGTGCTGGCCTGGGCTTGAGAACAGTCCTATCATGCAGCACAGGGTCAGGAGGAGCCCGCGCCTGAGATCGGACTTGCTACAGATAAGGCAAGTCAAGCAAGGTGCAACACAGGTTACAGATCTCTGTGTGCGCAAAGTGCTCCCCTCTGTCTACAACCACAGAAAAATCAGGCTCTCAGAGCACCAAACACAAAAAAAAATCTAGTTGTTATTCTTTAGGCGGTCTAGAATAAAACAGAAGAGAAATTATTATTAAATTTTGCTAGACACAGATTTCTTAATACATTAAACGTATTCACCAGAGAAGAAAATGGTAATTGCTTTCATCATAATACATTTTCTTTACCAAAAGACATCTAGGAAAATGAAAGAAAAGAACCTACAGAGCACTTTGCACACATCTGCAAAGTGTGCTCTTAATGAGGCACTTCTCCCCAAGCACAAACAGCTGTTATGAGTTATTTAAAAAAAAAAAACAGGTTGGCGAGGAAAGAGAGATAGCCCAAAGGCTGCCCTTGGTTGCACTTGGTTCCCAGGAGCCCCTTGGATCCCAGAATCCACGTGTTCAAGGAGAATCACAATGGCTTTTAACTCTACCTACAAGTAATCCCACCTTTTTCTGGCCTTGCAAGGTGGTAGGCTGTACCTGTCGGCATGAGCAAACATGTGCACAAATCCATACACAAATAAAAATAAAAAATAGATCACTAAAAACTAATTTGATCATGGAGATAACCTAGAACCCCTGCACAGATGTAGCTGATGGCAGCTCAGTTTCCAAGTGAGTTCCCTAGTAATGGGGACAGGAACTGTCTCAGACATGAACTCAGTGGCTGGCTCACTGATCACCAACCCCAGGGGGTGGCAGCTTTGCCAAGCCTCAGAGGAAGACAATGCAGCCAGTCCTGATGAGACCTGATAGGCTAGGGTCAGAGGGAAGGTGAGGAGGACCTCCCCTAATCAGTGGACTTGGGGGGGGATGGGAGAAGGTGAGGGAGGGAAGGTGGGATTGGAAGGGGAGGAGGAAGGGTGCTACAGCAAGGATACAAAGTGAATAAACTATAATTTATAAAAATATAAATAAATTTTAAAAAATGAAAAAAAAACTACTTTGATGAAGGAACATGAAAAAGGTTAGGCATTTTGGCAAAGAATACCTGTAAATAGAAATTAAAACATCACTAAAGACTAGGGAGATATAATTTAAGGTCACAATTCATGGAACCGCCACAGAATGGTTCAAATTAAGGCCTACACGTCCGCTATCTGCTGCAATAGCTGCAATTCTCAGCAGCTGCCAGTGGGAAGAGAGAACATTAGAGACACTTTGCAAACTGTTTCTTACTTTTTTAATATTAGGTCAAATATGTATCTCACTTCCAGTAGTTAGACGAAGAAAGAAAGAGAGGGAGGGAGGGAGGGAGGGAGGGAGGGAGGGAGGGAGGGAAGGAAGGAAGGAAGGAAGGAAGGAATAAGGAAGGAAGGAAAGAAAATGTACAAAAACTCATTTGAATACAGTTAGTAACTTCACTTAATGGGAAATCTGGAAATATCCATTTGTCTTCTTGGGGAGCAAACAGATAAAGTGGGAAACATGCATCCCCATCATACATACAGCGGAAATGATTACTCAAAATAACTGCTGAAAGAAACGAGAGAGAGGTCTGCTTCTGAGTCCACTGTTACCCAATTTTAGAAACCACTGACCTAGGGCACTTGGTAAGAGAAACAGTGAGAATAGCTAGAAGGGATTTCATTGGGGAACAATGGCTGTGTTTATTACTTTTTCTAGAGGAACAATTTCAGGGAATATACTTACATCAAACTATCAGTGTTATAATCTAAATATGTAGAATTTATTGCATGTCTCTTACTGCTCTGTAAGCTGCTCTAAGATCAGGAGTAACATGCATTTAAAAATATAGCATGAAGAAAACTTTAAGATGCGCCATAGCCATCTAATTAAAATAAGCTGTCATGGAATAATCATATTTAAAGACCACGTAAGACACTAAGAGCTATGATTTTACTTATCACCCTCTATTGTCTTCCGTGACTATTTTTACTTTTACTGCCAATCAAGAAAGTGGATCTGTATTAAGAAATATTTATTCCTAGACTATTCAAAATAGAATAATCCCATTTTCTATCAACAGAAAAGAAAATTCTGATAAAGCTAACAAATGACACAATAACAAAAGTAGTAAATTCAGCAAAGAATGAAGTGTTATTGCTTAGCCAAGTAAATCACTTACCTCTTGTTCATTGTCTTTTTTGTTAGCTAATAACGCAACAGTAATTTCCAAGTTTATTTTCAGGTTTTCTTGAAATCCAATGTTCTACTCACCAGCTGTTTTTCTTGTTTCTCTAAGGCTGCTCGATCCCTAATGATAGCCCTCTGCGTACCTCGCAACTCTCGATTCTGTTCCTTTATTACATCTAAAAGAGCCATACACACAAAAGAAATCCTTAAATCTATGAGTATAAAACTTTCTCAATACCACTTAAAATATTGGACTAAGGGAATGTATGACTAACAAAACTATGATTTACTAAATTTAATTTTCCTTTCAATTTAATATACTACAAACTAATCAAATATTAACACGCCTATTAAAACCACAGATTATATAAAGAATACAAATATTGGTACAAATATGCAGTGCTTTTGAAGTTTTATCCAATGCAAATTATATAGAAATAAAAATTTATAGAGAATTATTAAACAATTGCATATGGCACATGTAACAACCTCCACCAAACCCAAAACACCTTTTCATCTCTCTACTTCAGCACTATATGGATGTCAGAAAGGGACACACATTAGATATTTTAGTGAATCCTTTTTTTTTTTTTTTTTTTTTTTTGTATAGTTAAGTTATCAGTATGAAACAACAGATTTTTTTTCCAATGATGCAGATGCAGATTTTAACTACAACTTACAGAACAGGAAATTTACAAAGACTAGAAGAATATTCTCCAGCTATGTATATGGCAGAGAACTGATATCCAGAATACATAAGGGATCTATTTCTTGAGACAATATATACAAGTGACCAATGAGTAAATGAAAACAAATCTCAACACACTAGTTATCAGGGAGATACAAATATAAGACAGACACAAATATAAGATGGTTGGTGAGGAGGGCTATTGAGAAAAAGGTGAAGCCAGTGAGGGTGTGAAGAACAGGTGCTGATACACTGCCGGTGGAAATGTGTATCAGTACAGACATTATCCAAAACAGAGCTCAAATTCCATAAAACCTTCAAACTTTAGTGACCAAATGAGTCAACAGTTCATTTCTGGTTATCTATCCAAAGCAAATAAAATCAATGTAAGAGAGACAACAGCACTCACATTTGTAATGCAACACTATTTACAATAGCCAAAAATATGGAAGTAACTTAAGTACCCATTACTTGATGATGTAGAAAGAAAATGGGTATGTACTCCCTTGACCCTCACTAGCAGGAGAAGTAAAGGGGTCTGGGACCCCACAACCACTAATCTTTTCTCTCTCCTACTTAAGGTTGGGATTGGTGGAAGGAAGGTAGAGGCCTAAACAGTCCAAATAAAGGAGTTAAAAAAAAAAACATTATAATAATTCTTTGGGGGTTGTACATCAGATATCCTGCATATCAGATATTTGCAGTATGATTCATAGCAGTAGCAAAATTTTAGTTATGAAGCAGTAACAAAAAATGTTATGGTTCGGGGTCACCACAACATGAGGAACTATATTAACAGGTCATAGCACTCCTTCCACCACCCCTTTCCTGACACACAGTGAGACAAAGTGAATCCTTTCAGAGCTGCTTCTTTCAGGTATTTGATGCTAAGTTAAATTAGAAGTGAGCAAGAAGTTCCAATGTAATACTGACAGCAGTGATGGACTGCATATTTCGAAGCTAAAAGAATGAAGTATGCAGGGTGTCACCATCTGAGTAGTTAGTTACCTTAACTAGACTTAAACATTTTTTAAGGTATGTATGTATATACTGAAATGTCACTGTAGAAGGAATCTCTTGTGTCTGTATGGAAGCATCACCTGTCAATTAAAAGCTAATGGTCTGTTAGCTGAGGCAGGAAATAAGGAGGTGGGAATTCTGGAGACAGAAAGAGGAACTCTGGGACATTGTCAGAGATGGAATTTACCCCAGGATTCTGAAAAAAGGTGGAGTATGATACTGAGCAGAGGTAGCCATGTGGCAGAACTTAGAATAGAATAAATAAATATTAGTTATGAACAAGTCGGAGAACATGCCTAGCTATATTGGCTTAGGGTTTTGTAAATATACTTAAGCCTCAGAGTCCTTATTTGAGGAGCTGGTGTGTAGAAAAAAATTATGTGATATTCTTAATGATATTATTATGATATAATAATCATTGTAAACAAGGAAGCCATTTTCCTGAGTTCTGAGAGCTGTCCTATCAGCACTGAAGGACGAGCTGTAGAATATCTGGTCAGAAACAGGTAAGCACCAGGGACACACGGATCCATCTACAGAGGAGCAGGCTCTGGATGAGTCCTTATATCATGTGTGTTCTAAGGCTGGATAAGTAGTATCCACACTAAAATGCTTAATTTGATACTCAGTCCTGTCTAAGAATCAGCCTTCAGGCTAGATAAGGTCCTCTTAGATAAGAAAACAAAACAAAACAACAACAACAACAAAAACACAGTATAATGAAATCAAACAGTTTAATGAAAGATAATTCAATTTTACTTTAATTTTATGTAACTATGCGTACATTAACTGACACGGTATATCATAAAAGAAAAAAAAATAAAGAAAATTAACTACTGCATATTCCACAGCCTCACAGTTGTTAATAGACCTATTAATATTTAAACAGTTCTAAGCTATAAACTCAGAGCATCTAATGTTACATACTAAAACATAATCATAACACTTTAAAACATATTATAGTAAGTAGGAAAAGACAGTAAAATGTCTTTTCATATGAGGCAACAGGAGCAATCTATAAAACAAATTACCCTTCCACTTTCCTTATGTAATCCATACGCAAAGCCCACATTTAATGGTTTGGTCTTCCGGATAATTCAGAATGAATAACATGAAAAGGTTGAGATACTTTTAATGTTTTAAAGGTCAACTTTATTTTTCACTTGCTTTACTTCTTATTGCTTGGATTTCGTCCTAAGATACAAGCTCTTTAAGAGCAGAAAATACATATGATAAAATCCCTGTGAAGTCTCAGAGAGGGAAAGATGGGATAGGTGAAGCATCAGCAGTAACTAAAACTGCTTCCCACCTGTGCATGTGTTAAAATTGTGTGTGTGTCTGTGTCTGTGTGTCTGTGTGTATGTCTGTGTGTCTGTGTTTGGAGGCAAAGTCAACCTTGGTGGCTCTTTCTCAGGAGCCACCTTGTCTTTTGAGCAGGGTTTCTCCCTGGCCTAGGGATGCCTAGAAATTGCTAAACAGCTAGGCAGGCTGGCCAGTGAGCCCCAGGAACCTATCTGCCGGACATCCTTCTCTCCAGCACTGTCATTACAAGTGTTGCCCCCATGTTTGACTTGAGGTGGGTTCTGGAGATCAAACTTTGGTCTTCATGCTTATAAGACACAGACATTACTCCCTACCCCTGTGTGTTAAAACATGAAATGCTATCACTAACGTCCTGTTAGTGATAACATGTGCCCTGCTTGTGTCCCAACCATTTCAAAGGTAACAATTATTTCTTACAGAATGTAAGCCCTAAACTTCCGCACCTCAACGCTATCCAATGCAGGACCCATGTCAACAGCCATGCTTTCCTTCTGTGAATTTTCTGCTTTAAAATACATTAGCTCTAGGCCTGTGAACAGTTTCCAACTGCTACCCAGCTTTGCAACAGGAAGTTGCAGAATCCTGTCTCAGGATGTGGTCTTTTTTAAAAGGCTAGTACCTATAAAAGCTCAATAGCCTTTTATTTCAGAGATTCCTCAGGCTTAAGAGTTTTGCTTTCGGCATATATCACTGTATGCTTATTTGTGTGTATTGCCACAATATCATCTCAATATATGGTATCTAGAAGTGACCTTATGACATACAAATAATGTGATATATAAAGGGATTTGGCTAGCAAGCATATTTAACTTATTACCTTAAGATATAATAAAACCCAATGGTTATCAGGAAGAATGATTGATAATTAACATTAGTAAAATCTAAACTATGACCAATATCTTTGTACAGTCGAAACATGGATCACTGAAATAATGATCCATCCCCCTTAAATTTGGACTTGTGACAGTAGCTGCTCCTTGTGAGCAATCTCTGGAGGGTTAAATACCCTCCCTCCCCTCTGCTACATTACCGCTCTTCCCTTTGCCTCTTGTAAAGACTGTATCCCTAGTCTCTTCTAAGGAAAACCACGTACATGGTCATAAGATATGAAATTATCACTCTTCAGAGTTCTGCAGAACCCAGCCACCTGTAATAACTTTCAGGTAACAGGGGACTCTAAGCTCTCCTTATGCCCTAATTCTGTGCATCAGCTGAGGTTTAACCACCAGAAAAGCAGTGTGTCGATTTAAACAAAATACTAGAAGTCAACATTGCTTATACTATTCCTGCTACAGATTCAAAATGCAAAAAGGACACCCACCCTCTAGTTGAAGAAAGCCCACTCAGCATACTGACTCTCTGCTAATTGTTTTTCACCTGGAACTTCCCTTTCTAATACTTCCATTTCCCAAGACTGACTTTTGATAATTACTAGCTCCTCCGTCTATCTTCTCGGGGCAAAGTGAAATAGCCTGATTCCTTGCTGAGTCTCTCCTTCTGTGTGTTGTCTTTTGAATGCAAGCTCAGATGCGGTCCAGTAGAATGCTATTTTCAGTCTTGGCCAAGAAAATGGCAGAAAAAAGTACAGGTCCCTGCTGACATGAAAGAGACACTGTTTCCTTCCCATATATCCCTGGCTTCTTTCTTTAGGCAAAATGGTGTACCCTAGAATTCTTAAAAACCACCCCTTCAGCTACTTTGGAAGGTTGTTGTGATGTACTTCACAATGGGTGGCATTTGCAAACTGTGAAAATGTCTAAAATGTGTGGAAGTGATACAGTAAGCCACCTAACCCCCTCTCTAGGGGGTACTTAGTTATCATCCAGGTCAGCTCCAGGTTGGGTATTAAATGCCTATCTCAAGCTTGTCAGGATCTTCTCCTAATGAAATGCTGGTAACTAGACCTGGGTGGCAGGATCAAAGCCTTAAGTTTTGAGACTCTATAAGATATAAACTGAAGAGGCATTTTTGACTTCCTAAGTTCCAAATCAGTTAAATTTATAGGTTTAAGAAAATAAGTCTAAAATATATAAATTAAAATAAAAGTCTTTTACTATACTTTTCTACTGAGAAAAAGTATTTCTACTTGAAGGCAAGTCCTAACTTGACTTATAGCTTACTTCTAATACATATAATTTGCACATT